TGACGGTATCTGACATCCAAGCAGGAATGTCAAGTAGGGCTTTCTGGTCTGATAATACGGTGTATTGGAAAACCCTGAAACTTAGGAAAGTTGCTTCCTAGGTGGTGGAAAGGATGGAGAGAGCACAGCGATGTTGGTTGCAAAGGAGTCTTGCAGAACTGAGAATGAGAGGCCTCCTCTCCCCCAGCTGTTTAAGCAAAACTCGAGCGTTGTATGTGGCTTCTGATCTAGTGGTAGTGCTTAGCACATCTGCTTGTAAATTATACTTTTTATTTGAGAACCTTTGTTCCCTTTCAGAGACTGCCTAATGACTTTATCAGTGATGCTATGTCATCGCAGCCTAGGAAAATAACTTGAAGTTCTCTTGTTTGGGAAGGCACTCCTGTTGTGAGGTTCTCATGGGCATTATTTCCAGCCTCCTTCAGCCCTTCACCCCAGCCTGTAAACCTGTCAGGGTGTGATTTGAAGACTGTTCACCTGGCAGTTTGGTCACAGCAGGTGCAATTCAGGTGTCCAGGCTAGTGGTGTTGGTTGTGTGTGTTCAGATGAACTCTGCCACGTCTGATCAGTAAGTCAGACGGGGTTGGCTGCTGCGGCTGTCTGTGCAGCAGGCTGATGGGGCAGACTGCTCGTGAGCTATGCGGAGTGGTACCCGCCTTTCTGGAGACTTCTGCATGATGATCCCAACCTTGGGTACCCGATCTTGTGCTGCCAGAGCCACACGGCCAGTCACCGGTTCAGAATGGTACGCTCCAGTCAGACTGAATAGCAGCCTGCCGCTCTCCAGTTACAGCGTCCAAGGGTCCCAGCCCCTTTGTATAATCACTGGTATCCTGATTACCTTTTCTGTTTGCAGCCTTCCATTGCTGGGAAGACTTCTCCAGAGAAATTAGTCAGCAGAGTAAAGGCACTGTATGCCTTTCTGCATTCCTGTCCAGATCTGCAATTGCTCTGTTAGAAACCAGGGACACATCCCCTTGAAGACGTAGCGGAAAAAGTGATGAAGCCAGCACAGAGGAGGTAGGCTTGCTGTTTAACTGATTTTAGTGGGCTGAATAAATCAACAACAGACGCTAAACTATATGTGTTCTCTACTTGCTTCCCTGTCCAAGGACTCAGCTGGGTCCATGCAATATTAGTGGCTGCTGTTGGGCAGACGAGTCTAGATTTGGTTGTCCTTTCATGCTGTCTCTGGAGTTTGCTAATAAAATAGTGACTGAGAGTCCAAATTGTCCACCCCCAGAATGGAGTTTACGGTTGTAGTTACCAAATCCTTGAATGATAAAAACATCTGACCCTGAGTCTCCCTGCCTGCTGTCTCTGATGTTTCGGAGCACCTTTGCTCTGTCCAAAACTCTAAGAACTTACAAGGGAAGATCCTCTAGTGCCATGTTATGGTTTTGCTGCAGTATTACATTCAGTACTGGTATGTAATAAACTGTTGGGACTTAAAGAAATCGAGAAGGAG